GTTGGTAGAATCTACAAACCAGGAGACTTGGTTCTTGTCCGAAACACGAGCGTTGAGTCGTCTTTGAATAGAAAGATGAAACCACGATATTTAGGCCCGATGATTATAATCAGGCGTTCCAAGGGAGGTTCGTACATTGTGGCGGAAATGGATGGAGCTGTGTTTCAAAATAAAGTTGGGGCCTTTAGAATTATTCCTTACTTTGCAAGGACTAAGATAATGCTACCCGACGATATTTATGAAATCATAGACCTCAATAAAGAAAGCTTAGACAAATTAGACGAAGAAGGACTTGAAGATCGCGTCGATTCGAATGACTATTACTTCGAAGGCGTAAATCTGGACCAAAACGTTCAGGATGACGTCGGCGGAATGGAAGCAGACAACGATGACGATTAGTTTATTAAAAACACGACAAGTCCTTTCTGTTTTTAAAAACAGACGATGAAAACTGCAAATGGGACTATTCAGAAGATAAAGGCGCACGCACGCAAAACAGATCATCTAGATTTTAAATGTACTATGAAAATACATAAGGACTCTAGGTGCCCTACTAAGTCCGTATAATTGCCTATTGAGCTCTAAGTCCATACGCTGAAGGACAGTAATGACGCGGTTTCGCAAGTCCAGCTCAGTAGTACGATAATAATCCAGCGTGGGTTCGCCAGGCATGGGTTTGTCGAGAACGGTTCTGGTGCGCTGCGTAATAAAGTCCTTGATGGAACTATCAAGCGACAAAGAGTGTCCTATGCACAAAAAAGATAAAAATGGTCGTTAGCTTCGTGATATGTGCTATAGAAAAGTAGAAAGGACGTACCGCGACGACGCTGAAGGTCGGCAAGGTCAGTGGCAGAAGAGGGATCAATCCGAGCCCGCTTGTTGCTGGACGACGCAACCTGACCATTCTCAATAGCGGCCGCCTTGAAGTAAATATGATTTTTAGTGTCCATGCCAGGGACAGCGGCGTACGGAATACGCACAGTCTCTGCGCGTTTGAATGGAAACTAACAACGAATTTATGAGCATTTGCGTAGTAAAAATCAAAAAGAACGCGTCGCGTGGCTTACCTTGCTTGCAGCACGCTTTTTGCCCTTATCCTTGGTGCCGACCTTCGCTTCGACTTCCCCGTTGAAGAGGTTGTCGATTTTCATCTGCGCGAATGACCGAGTAAATGAATTGATAAGACCTATGAAAATTAAGAGATACGCACGGCGTCAGGACCTGAAGCGGCAGTAATGGGACCATCAGACGCACCCATTGTGACGTCGACATCACCAATAATCTCGATCTCGTCGTCGTCCTTGTCGTCGATGACAGCCTTGGATTTCACGGCTTTACGAGGGCGAGGCTGAGCAAAAAGAACGATTAAAAATAGAAAAACGAGAATAAATAAAAATAACGGACTTTGGGTTTAACGTCAGCAAGGGCTGCAGCGACGTCAGCGGCACCACGCTTCTGTGCGTTTCCTGCATCTCGGATGATCTGGACCTTCTTACAGAAGTCCCGGCAGACGTTGAAGCCTACAGGAGCGGTAACGGACTTGTCCAAGTCATTGAGAGCGTTGTACTCTTGGCGAACGATGAAGACAGGCTCCGATAAGTTGTGATCAGTGAAAATGGCGGGATCGCCACTGGTGACAAGAGTCCCCTAACAAGAAGCAAGACATACGAATTAAAATGACGTTCACGTATATATCATAAAAAGCGTACGCAGAGTCCAGCGATGCTAGAAAGCATGCGTCGGCTTCGAGTTGACATAAGTCTTAAACGCTTCGTTGATATTGTCGTGGATGACGAGAGTAGAAGCGAGAGGTGCAGGAGGTGCCATGTTTAAGCTGGGTAAAAGTGTTGTGAATTGTGCTACAATACTTGACGACTTTTCCCATCTTTTAACGAGTTCCACTGTTCTACACCCCTGACTAGAGAATGGAGAGCAATTTGACAACGCGCTCATTCAGGAGTTGAGCATCATTTCATGAGGTATCGTGTATGATAATCACATGTGCTATTAATAGAATTGCCGTCGCTTCAGACGCACTCTTCACGCTTGGCGGAACAACTGAGGACAGTTGATTTTAAAAGTAGGGGGGAGGATAGTGATCTATTATAACATATAATGTACCTTTTGAAATCAAGAAACAAATGTTTTGCGATTTTATAATTAAAGAACGAACTTAGAAATTGGTTGAAAAAGTCTCTAAGTCAGCTTAAGCGACTTCAGTCTTCTTTCACACTAGTAGAAAACAACAAGATACAAGCTTTTATTAGTCTACCTAATAAAAACTACAAGAAGTGCAAAGAAATACGATATAATGAGAGTTTGCGCGTAAAATATCGTACTGAGTCCAAAATGA